TTTTCTTGCATTTAAAAAATCAATAAAAAAAACAATTTAGATTGAATTCCAATAACTAAAATTTAATTTTTTTAACATATTTGGACATCGAATCTTAATAATTATTTTGTAAGCTACGGTTAAAAATCATTTGCATTCTAAATTATGCATGCTTCAAAATGAATAGATACACAAACACACATAATCAAAACTAAAGCAAGCGTTAGGGATCTCAAATATTAATGCCCGTGAATTTAGTAGAAGAAAGAGATGAACTTGTCAACGAATTATTGAATCTTAGCTTTATCATAATATTGAATTATCAAATGCCTAAAAAAAATTGAATAAAGGCAAGCTATAACACTACCCCAATTTGAGCAGAGGACATGAAGGGGTGAGGTTAATTTCAGAGATTTGAAAATGAAAGCGTATCTTTAATTATCTTTCCTTCAAAAAGTGGGAATTAATGGGAGAATTCTTGGAGGCCACCTAAGGACTATGGATTAGCATGGGCCTAACCTTTTTTTAACATAATTCACCCACTGACCTATTTGGCCTCCGCAAATCAAAATCACCATTTATTACAACTACGTTTAAAATCACTTTTTTTTGTCTTTTCTGAAAGATATTAGCTCTAGCTGATTTACAGGAAAAATCTTGTTGCCTTAACTATCAATGGGAATCTTTTAGACCTATATATCAAAAAATCTGTCATCACTTAATAATATACTCCCTCCCTCCAATTCTCATTATAATGAATATCTAACCGTTTCATTGACATTAAGAAAATTTGTTTAATTTATTGATTAAAAAAATCAAGAGCTTCCAAAACTTTCCCTATTCATTATTTCATGTGTCATTAATTAATCCCTAACTCAAAAATCAAAGGATTTTTTTTTTAAAAAGGTCAACGATGCTTGAGAAAATTCAAATGGGTTTTCATATTTGGGATTTACAAAATTTCTAAAACGTGTATTACAAGAAGAACCGGAAAGAGCATACATGATAACGGTCTGGCCTCTTAAACATATTTTCGAGTTTAATTTTTGAAAGTGTGTATGAAAAAGTTTTGCTTGGAAGAGAACAATGATTTAAATTATGCTCAAATTCCTAGCAAGATTAGCCTTACAACTGCATTCCTTGATAACCAAAAGAAGAAGGATCGAAGAGAGTATTTAAAGATAAATAAAAAAGAATTTAAGGATGAATAAAAAAATCCTTCATTTTACCAACAAAAATAATTCAAAAATCACACATTTTTGTCATCCCCTCTCATTCCTTTCAAATGTGTGTGTGTGTGTGTGTGTGACGTAAAATACTTAATTTATAATTTGCACGATGTTACGTGCAAAAGTTATGGCCACAACATCACAAAAGGTCACCAAACCAACTAGCTTTGAAAGGAGCCCTCATATGCTGGTAATAGATTTTTCTCCCCTTTCGCCAATTTAGTCAGATTTCCAAGTTGCAGGCCTGCACCGAGTTTGATCGTGCAAACTAAACAGTTATTATTGGTATTTTCAAACCACGTTTAAAGGTTTTGAGATATTAAATAGTTTTAGTCTATTTTCAACTCTATTACTCGAGTGACATCAGCAAATATGTCCTCTAGGAAGAAAAAAAGGGATTTAAAAATTTTTAATTTTACCTTAAAACAACTTGGGCTTTACTCCTTTTAATCTCATTTATAAAACACGTTTTATAAGACTTATTCAATTTCATTTATAAGTTATAGTATATTTTTTTAAATAATCTTTAAAAAATATTTTTAAATTACCTTTTATGAGAATAAAATAATATGTTATCACTTTTAGCTTTGTTGCGTAGAGATACGTTTAAAATTTTATTTTTATACTTGTTTATATCAGTATTGATATTGTTAGTAAAAATAATTTATAAAAAAAATTGGATGAGTATCTACCAATTTTCATGTTCTCATCGATTCACCTTTCTTGAGCGACTGAATTCCTTTTATTTTAAATTTAAAGAGGAACGTGTCTTAATTAGAGATGGAGCTTTGGATTTGAGTCAAAGCCCACTCGATTCAAGACCGCCCTAATTAGCGAGGCTTGTTCGCTGCGAGACATTTGAGCAACAAGAAGTTATTAAAAGGTTCGGCTTGGGCTTCAAAATTAAGGGGCCGAATGTACCTTGTGTTGTTTCTGCTTAAGATTCGTTATTCAGGTCATGTTTTTTTGGGCCAACAGTACTTCATTTCATGGTTACAAGATGAATTATGTGACTCTGATTTTATAATTTGTATGAGATATTTTTTTATTTAGTTGATTCATGGGCCTTAGACTTGCTGGGTGAGCTAGAAAAATGTCAAACTGATAGCGGTTCTTTCTTCTTTTTTTAACAAGAGATGAACAATGTTTTTCTTTTTTTTTTTTCATTTGATTTGTTTCAAAAATTAATTATTTTCTTATGAAAGGTTCGATACCTTGACTTCCACCTTACCTCACCGTTGAATTAGACAATATTTCTTTTCAATTTAAAGAACATAATGTAAAACAAATATAATTTTGTAAATGTTCTTTGAACATAGAGATATATCATAACCCTTGTGAACTCCCAATACTCAACCCATTTAAACTTTTTGTTATAAAAAAATAAATATAATTTTATAATTTGAAAAAAGTATCATTTAAAATATGATGATTCAAATTAAAAAAACAAAAGTAGTAATGATGTAAGTCAAATTTAAAGTCTGAAACACTTTTTAAAAGAGTGCATGCAAAAGAGAAGCATATGTCCATCTAAATCGTGATTTGAGCCATAGAAGAAAACTTGTAACGTTCAGTATCAATTGGAGCCATAGAAGAAAAATTGTAACGTTCACTTTTTAAAAGAGTGCATGCATGAGAGGCAGTGATATTTGATGTTTATTCACTAGCATCTCACCTGGAACACCTCATATCATTCCTCAGCCCGCCAACCAAAAAGGAATTGGTCTCCAAACTCTATTACAACAAGAGAGTGAGAGCTATGCAAAGCAAGAGCGCAAAGAATTCTGGGAAGAGGATGATTTTAGATGATATTCAGGCTCCGCAAGGAAAATTTAGGAAAGTAATTAGAACACGTTATTTACTACCATATTCTTGGGAAACCTGGTGGACTTCTAGCAGTTTGGGTGGTTGTAATATTATTAATATGTTCTTTTATCCACAATGATTGCGCTTTACTTGTCAAGAGTTATTTATTTTGATGATATTCTCGTCATCTTGCCTGTAAAACTGTTCTTTAAGCTTGCAAATTGCAAGCTGGCTATTACTATAGTGAAGACTGATGAAGAAAAGACCCAAAAAGAAAGGAAAGAAAGAAACTATATATGGCCTTGATATTTTGTAAGTTTTACTAGGGCAGATGAAGATAATTATTAAATATCGTCCTTTTTTAAATCTTATCTGCTGAAGATATTTCTATTAGTAGGACCAGACATGTATTCTTCTCAAATGGCAGCTAAATTTAATCCTGTAATGTCTTTCATTCTCTCGTTTGTTTCAATTCAGCTGGTCCATGAGTAGAATTGTGGCATTGTTGGGGCAAGCGGTTGTAATGCCTGCCTTCCACTTCAGTCTCATTCAATCATCTGCGTCACTTTCCCCCTCACCTCATCATCCATTAATGTTGCTTGTAATCCAACAGCGACTTCACAATTGAACCACGACCAAGCATTGCGTCTTTTCTTTATTAGCTACACTTTATTCTGGTAACTGCTCTAGCTTGCAATTTTTTATTATTGAAGGTTATGTTTATTACGATAAACCATCTTCCACGGAAGATTACCAAAAAAAAAAAAAAATCAACTGATCACTTTCTTATTTGTCCAGCTTTTATTTATAATTAATAAATTAATTTCAGATCATTTGGGAATTGGGTGCATGATGATTTCACATCTTTCCAAAACTCAGACAACGAGGGGGAATCTTTGCCTTGAGTATTACATGAGTGGTGGTCCTTTTTTTTTTTTTTTTGTGCCATTTCTGTTTGGAGAAACCAGAAGCACAACTCTTTTATTAAGTTTTTTTACTTTTCTTTTTATGGCTCTTGCATTTATTCTGGTTAATCTAGTTAATTTTAATTTATTATGTTGCTTTGATGAACTTTAATGTCCCTCCTGTTCTGTGATACTTTTTTCATAATCAGTTCACGTGATGGATGTACCTCTAGGATATTCTACAAATAAAATATCCACTACAGAGGTGCTTCAAGATAGAGGCTCTGGTCCCATGCATGTCATAGTTCTTCCCAGCTTGATGCATATCCCGTGCATATCCCCCTATCTGATGTTACTTCAAAGAGGCATTTGAATTTATCCTGCCCAAAATCCAAATCTAAACTTGATCGTCATTAGCTGTTCAGTAAGGAATTGAAAACAGACACCATAAAGCAACAACCAATATAAAATGAAAAATTTTATAACTGATCAGAAAACATTAAACCTTTTGTAAAATATCTTCCGTTCTCATGGCTTACGAATTGTTAGTGGAGATAATAATGATGAATGCAAACAGCAGTCACCCGATATATTGAATAGATAAATTAGTGAGACTGCACCAGTAATGGTAGCTATCAAAGGTAACACCTGGTCAAAATCTGCTGGGAAAAGAAATTTAGTTATGCAAGAACTTACAGTGGCTGCCTGCAAAATCCATCTCTTTCCGATTAATTTGTTTGAACCTGCGAACAAGAAGTGCATGCTAATTGTCAATTGAACATTGAAAGGCTGTTTTTCATATCAATAAACACATGAAGAAAAGAAAAATGACCGAAAATAACCGCAGAAGAGGATGAGTGCATGGCCAGAGCAACAGTGATTGGGGGTCCTGAAACATTGAAGCGCGTGTTGAGAAGAAAAGGATGGGGCGAGGGAACACAAGTAGGATTGTTGGAACTGGGAAAATCGAGCGCCCGCCTTTCATGGAAGCAGTTTGGCTATGGAATTAATTTTCCAGAAAGACGAAAAGAAAAAAACAAAATTAATTACACAGGGAGAAAACAACTCACCATCATAGATCTGGACCCAAAACGAAAACGGACTGAAAATTCATTAATGATCCAGGATCACCAAGCTAAAACGGCAATCCTTCTCAACGATTGATAGTTTCATATACATCATATATCTCAGTATTTTTCATCGTAATATGTATAACTTTTAAACTCCTTTTGCTTTTTCTTGTTCTTTTCTATTTATGATATCTGCTTCTTCATGTTTATAGTGTCCACGAATCAAATTACTTCAGCACTATTGCCAGTGGTTCACGCTGTGGATAAGGTCAATGTGGCCGTTATTTCTTTGAGCATGATAAGCACAGTAAGGAAGCGGAATATTCCTCTCAGCAGATTTGCCCACGCCAATTGGATACGCCATCGGCGCCGACATCAAGCGGACGCAACGGCCGACCATGGCGGGCTTCACCGGATACCTCCGGCTTGAAACAATACCAGAGCAACCACAAGCAGAAGTAGGACTGCGAGATGAAGACGAAGACGACGACGAAGACCACGTAGATGAGGATGATTTGGACAAAGACAACGACGGGGACGGCGACGAGGAGGAAGAGGAAGCAACCTTGTTCAATGATTTCGGCGGATAAAGGAAGGCTCTGATCTTTAAAGCGGAAGATGGCGACGCAACACGATCATATTCCTCGATGAGGTTAGATAGATCTTCATCTGAGGTGATAGAAACCAGAGCGTCAAGATCTTCCGTGGGCAATTGACAACGGAGGCTAACAGGTGAGCCACACAAGTCTCCCATCTTCAACAACAGCTCTGTAACACGCGAAACACCAAGGGCATATGTCTCAGTTGATCATCCAAACAGATCAAAGTGAAAATGACTTATAGAAGAAAGAGAACTGACCGGAGAAAGAAATGGAGCAGGGGACGGAGAGAACACGGGTGTGGCCGCCAAGATAACGGAGCTTGCCGTCGGGATAGCGGGGGAGGATTTTGCCGCCGTAGCTACAAAGGAATTTGATGGCGGACTTGGGAGAGTCAGGCGCGACTGCGACCATGGCTGATTCGGGTTGAGATAAGAGAGAAGTGGGGTCCGGGTTTAGACTGAGAAGAGGTGAGGGGAAGAACTGAAGAAGATTTTTGAGATGGCCTGCCCTGCCAGTCTATCGACGATACCATTTGCCCATTATTTATAGACATTTCATAAGACTTGCGTCAGTTATATTCCCAGCTGATTAGGAGTGATGGATACTGCTTCACCCGAATTTTATCAATTTTATCAATATTAATGTAAAAAGATTTTAAAAATAAAAATATATAAAATTTTAAATATATCTCTATATAATAAATTTAAAAAGTAATAATATATTACTTTTTTTCTTTCATAAAAGATAATTTTAAAAATATTTTTTAAATGTTACTTAAAAAATACTTATAAATAAAATAAAATAAACTTTTTAAAATATATTTTATAAATAAAATTAGAAAGAGCATTGTCCGAGAAGAAAATGAGTGCGTAGTAAAAACCATGAGAGTTTACTTCCTGTGTTTGCGTGGTTGGATTTTTTTTTTTTTTTGTCGGCATACAAAAGCAAAATAGCGCAGAAAATTATTTCTCAAATATGTAAATAACAATTAAAAATTATATTCTAATCATTTTTTCAATAAAACTAAATATTTCTCAAAAGAAAGTAGTGATTCAATTTCATTGATCATAAAATTTGTGTAGAACAATTTGTAAATTAATATTTTGTTTTAGTCATTTTTTCAAAAAAAGAGTCATTTCTAAAAAAAAAGTAGCAACTGAATTTTAATTATTATATTTTATTGATAAAAAATTGCACATAATAATTTATAACTTATTATTCCTTTTAATCATGTTTCTAAGAAAACTAGTCATTTTCAAAAGAGGGTGATAACTAATTTTTAGTTGATAGATTTCACTTATAAATTTTAAAACAAAAGCAAATATGTCATTTCATAAATAAAAAAGGCAACAATGTCATGCAAGTTCTCAGGATTAAAAAATAATTATTACATTTTATAATGCCTAATTTTTATTTATATATATTTTAGGAGTATTTTTTTTTCATTTTTTCAAACAGTAATTTATTTTGTATATTTAAATATTTTTTCAAAAAATGAATACGTTGATAACAATGACAGTCATTGAATTAGAATAAAATATAAAATGCATAATTATTATAAAGTTTTTTTTCAATAAAATTTTTATCCTTTAACTTTATATAAAATTTTAATTTGATCTCCTAATTTTTAAATTATTTTTTTAATGATTTAATCCTAGCATCATATTTTAAATGATTATTTTTTATGTCAATCATTATTAATTAAACTTAATATGTTAACATTTAAGAATGTTATCTCAATATTTAAATGTTAATGTGTAAATATTTTGTGACGAAACATAACAATGTTAAAATTAAAAGAATAAAAACATATTTTGTAAAATTAAATGACCAAAATAAAATCTTGTATAAAGTTAAAGAATTAAATGGATACATTAGCCTTATTATTTTTATAATTTTTTTAATTAAGAAATTATTTCAAGCTTCTTTTTTTTAATATAACATGAGGAGTAGATTCTGCCAACAATAGAGATTATTTCTCACAAGATATGGAAGGCAAAGGGTAGACCTTTTTTTGACTAAGTTACTACATATTAGGGTTGAAATTTAAACTTTAACTATTTATTTAAGTGACAATATTCTTTTATTAAAAACAAGTGCATTCAAAACACGATTGATTAATAAAAATGGAGACCTATAAATATGTTTTGTGCAGTTGTTAACTGCAACATAATTGAAAATTGAAATCACGTATACATAATTTCAAACCTAAGTCAAGCGTTCATGTGTGGCGTACAACCCAATATAATTTGTGCCGAATTTAGATGGGTGTTGTGTCTAGTTTTTATTCAATTTATAACTCTACTCTGTGCCTTTTATCTTAAATTAAAAAATGGTAAGTGTACGATCAAGTGATGGTCCTATTATTTAATTTATTTTTACTCGTAAACTCAGTGAATTTTGTCATTTAATTTGCCTCTTATTGCGTGTTTGAAATAACAAATAATAGGGCGGGCTTTATCTTTGTGGGAATAATATTGTGAACCAACGAAAATGGATGTGGAAAAAAATAGTATGGGAAAGAAATAGAGCAGAGGATACAAAGGCCACGGAATGCTTGTGGCTCGAAAGGGAAGTGACATGCAGTCCTGAGAATTCACAAGAGTTTTTATATGGCGCAGGTACATCCGTTTTTTTTCTCCTCATGAAACTCATGTCCTTCTCATCCTTACGCTCATCTATCTCATGCTCATATCTAAATCCAGCCATGGGCTCCACCATAGATGCTCCATGTGGACCCTACCTTTCAACTTTCCCTTCGAACGTGTCCTATTTTAATTGGATTCCACTTTTGGAATTGTATTTTAGCCGAGTCGGCCAAATCATTGCACATCCCATCTGGCTGGATGGCAACTATTTTTACTTTTTTTACAATCCTTTAATGTCTTCTGTTTATTTAATTTATAATCACATGTTTGCATATACAAATTATAAACCCATCTGTAGATTTCAGAATTTTTTTAAAAAACAAATCATGTCATTTATAATTTGGTCAATGATCATCTTAATTTTTAAAATATCACACAAATAGCGTCTTAGACTCTGAACTTTTAAAATGTGCAAAAACTTTTATTAACTTTAAATTTTGAGCACTTGAAACCTTGTTATTAAAGTAGAGAAAATGACCATTACTTTTTTAGTTGTGAGGTCCAATGGCATGCTGATATGGCACTCATCTTAACTCTTAAAAATAACATTTTTCTTCAATTTAATGGCAAGATTTTGGGTGCTCGAATTTTAAAAGTTGAGGAGAGTTTTTACACATTTTAGAGGTTCAGAGTCCAAAATACTATTTGTACAATAGTTTAGAGATTAGGATGCTAATTAATTCTTTATAATTTATAAAAATAAAATTTGTTATCAATTTAATTATGGACAAAATTTATTTACTCCCTCCATTTAAAAATGTAAGGCATTTTTTGAGAGGTTGGATGCTAAAAAATATAAGACATTTTTAATCTTTTAAGGTGTATTCATTATCTTTTTTCATAAGTGCCCCTATTGTAACATTTTGAAAATTCACCCCTTAACAATAATTCTAATTAAGGAAAATTAAGTATAATTCAAATTAAGGAAAATTAAGTATGATTTACGCTATGTGTGGTTAAAGGGAATTAATAAGTGTTTCTTGTAAGAATTTTGAGTATAATTTAGGTCCAAACTGAAATTAGGTTACTTGAAATCAAAAAGTGGAGAAAAACAAGTAGAAAAGTCTATGTGCCACATGCCATGTCGCATGCATGGTGCGCCACAACACACAGGGCCAAGAGACACGAGACAACCTTCTGTGTATCACATGCCACAACAATGATACAATTTCTACAAAATTTAGTTGCGAATCTAATGCAAAAAACATAGGAAAGAAAATTGGGAGAGACACGAACAGGATAAAGGGAGCTTTGTTAGGGCTTCAATTCCAAGGAGATTGGAGGTGTTTCTTGTAACACACCAAATTTTTTTTTTTAAATAATTTAACTCAACCATAGTTGGGTTACAGCCACCCAACACATTTTTATATCAATAATTTCGATATAAAATATTTTATAATTGGCTTCAACTCACACACTATAACATTTCAGATAAATTTTTACCTCCCACATGCCATTAGGCTAAATCACATTTGTCCATCCTTATACTCCCAACAAGTAAACTAAATCACATTTGTCCATCCTTATACTCCCAACAAGTAAAATAAGTAATTTAGTCAATTTTCAACACAAGCCAGTTATTTGGCCTTATAATCATGCCATTTTAACCAATCCAAAGTAAACCAAATATTAAAATTACAGTCATCCAAATTGTACTAAAAATAGAAATAGTTTGAAAGGCATGATTACATTTATATATTCATATAATTGACAATAAACATAAAAAAGTCCTAATATTGGCAATATAACACATTATAAATCATAAATTAAATACCCAAAAGAGACAGTGGATCTATACCACTAAGCCTCTGGGACTCCTCCACGTGTCACTCTTGGCTCTTCTCCTGAAAATTGTTAACCACATAATGAGACTCAAAAGTCTCAGTAACCAAAGCCAATTTATGATAGTGTATACAAACAGTTAAGTGTGTGCTTACTAAGTGAGAATTAAAAATAATATAATTCTAACAAATATAAGAAATATTATAATAAACACAAACAACCATCCTTATATCCCTCCATTAACCTCGAGCCGTAGCCCTCACTCGGTACTAAATTACCCGGCCAAAGGTAGATTAGCCCGAGCCCTTACAAACCACCTATTGAGCTCCAATAGGGGCGTACCACGTGGCACATAAATACAACAACAATAGCAAGTCTCCCAACACCTCCCACAATAATTAAACAAATTCATAATAATATTGCACAATTATACAATATTACAAAATTCATAATTTTCTCAATAATCACCCAATTAACAAGAAGTAACACTAATCACAAATTAAAAGCATGGTTACCTTGTGGCTTTTTCAATAAATTATTCCTTAAAATTTCTCTCTCACCACAATCTTCACCAGTAATACAATCTACAAATAACATATTATTTATAAATATTAGTTTCAATTTTTGAAACTAATAAAATAATTCTAATAATAGAATTAAAAATATAACATAATTCTTAATCTCAATCTTAATACAAATCTATAGTTAATACTATTAAGTATAATTTTTAACTCCTCTTTTAATTATCAATAAACATTGATAATCTAAAAATCAAATTTTAAACTAATTTCTATTATCAAAATTTTCTTTTTATTTTATAAATTCGTACCTAAAATACCCAAAAATTAAAAATTAAGTCTCTAGCTTAGAATCATAATCTTATAATAATTCATTTCTCATCCCAAATAATCATCTAAACCTCAATAAATCAACATATATTTTCAGATCTAGTTTAGAATTTGATCCATAAGCCATAAATTCAAAGATCATTAACAAATTTATACTCTATAACATTTATTATACTACTGACAACCTCAAAAATCATATTTATTCAACATAAATTCATCCCTCTTTCAGATCTTAAATTTTTTACCACTACAAACTCAGAAACTAAAGAAGAAGGATGACTAAGAAAAATTTTTAGAACACTTACTTAGTCTTGAAAAGCTTAAAATCACACCCTAAATATCCTATTAAAAACTCTTACCTTAAAACCCAGCACCGGTGAATTTGGCTCACAGATGCTCTCTCTGCCGAAGCTCACGCACGAAAGAAGGAATGAAGAAATGAAGGAACAGGTGAGTTTTTATAAAAATTCAGTGGGTTCCACATTTTTTTTTAATTATTTTCTCTCTCTTCTTCTTCTTTTCTTTTTATTATTATTTTATTATTCTTACTGTTGAGGCGGCGGACGAAGCAAATTCGTTTTCTCCTTCTTCTTCCTTTCTTTTCCTTTCTTTCTTTTTATTATTATAATAATAATAATTTAATAATATTTTATTTTTTTATTTATTATTATTATTATTTTTATTTTTTTATTTTTTTATTTTTATTTATTTTTTTTTCATACTTTTTTTATAATAATAATTTAATAATACTTTTCAAAATTTTTATTAACCCAAATTAACTATTAAAATTTAAATTGGGATGTTACAATTCTCCCCTCCTTTTAGAAATTTTGTCCTCAAAATTTAAAATTAATAACTATTAACTACTCACTTAATCAAAAAGACGAGGATAATCACGTCGCATACTGTCCTCGGTCTCCCACGTAACATCACCTGGAGTTGTGCTCTTCCAGATTACTTTAACCAATCTAATGGTCTTATTTCTTAATTCCTTGTCCTTATAATCCATAATCCTTTCTGGTTCAGCTCTGAATGTCAAATTCTCCCTGAGTTCAATTTCCTCGGGTTCAATTATATGGGAAGGATCTGGTTGATACTTTTTCAGTTGTGACACATGGAATACGTTGTGTATTCCAGCAATTTGGGGTGGTAATGCTACTTGGTACGCTACTGGTCCAACTCGTTTTAAGATCTCAAAAGGCCCCATAAACCTTGGTGTCAACTTCTTAGCCTTAATAGCTCTTCCAACACCAGTTACTGGAGAGATTTTCAAAAATACATGGTCACCTACTTCAAACTCAAGCGGTCTTCTCCTCTTATCCGCATAACTCTTTTGTCTACTTTGAGCTGTGAGTAATTTTTGCTTGATTAAAGCAATCTTTTGGGTAGTCTCATCAACAATGTCCGGCCCCAAAACAGTTCTCTCACTTAATTCTGTCCAACACAGTGGCGATCTACATTTTCTTCCATATAATGCCTCATAAGGTGCCATCTGAATGCTAGAATGAAAACTATTATTGTAGGCAAATTCAGCTAATGGCAAGTGACTATCCCAATTACCTCTAAGCTCAATGGCACACGCTCTTAACATGTCTTCAAGAGTTTGTATGGTTCGTTCCGTTTGCCCATCGGTCTGGGGGTGGTAAGCTATGCTAAAACTCAGACGAGTACCCATGGCTTCCTGTAATGACTTCCAAAAGTTTGATGTGAACCTCGGATCACGATCAGATACAATATTTGTCGGCACTCCATGCAATCTCACCACTTCTCTTATGTAGATTTTAGTTAATTTTTCGAGAGAATACTTGATATTAGTAGCAAGAAAATGAGCTGATTTGGTGAGTCGATCTACGATTACCCATATAGTGTCATGACCAGAAGATGTTCTAGGCAATCCTGTAATGAAGTCCATAGAAATGCTGTCCCATTTTCACTCTGGAATATCAAGAGACTGTAGCATCCCGGCTGGTTTCTGATGCTCAATTTTGACTTTCTGACAAGTCAAACAACGAGTTACATGTTCAGTTACATCTCTCTTCATCCTTGGCCACCACCAACCACGTCTTAAGTCATGATACATCTTAGTTGCTCCTGGGTGAATGGTATATTTACTTTGATGAGCCTCCTCAAGTAAGATATTTTTCAATCGAGCATCATTAGGCACGCACACTCTACCTTTATATCTTACGACATCATCATCGATCACATCAAAATGTTCAGCCTTTCCAGCCCCAATCTCTACCCTAATCTTATTCAAATGATCATCCTTCTGTTGCGCAATTCTAATTTCTTCCCAAAAATTATTCTCAAATTCAGTAATGTGTAGAGCAGCCAAACGATTTTTGACTACTTCTACATTTACTGCATGGAAACTACTCCATAATTCATGTTCTCTGACCATCATGTGAGCAGTATGTACAAGCTTCCTGCTCAGAGCATCGGCGACTACGTTAGCTTTCCCTGGATGATACTTCAACTCAAAGTCATAATCCTTCAAAAACTCAATCCATCTGCGCTGTCTCATGTTGAGCTCCTTTTGATCAAACAAATATTTTAAACTTTTATGATCACTGAAGACTTCAAAAGAAGAACCATAAAGATAGTGCCTCCAAATCTTCAAGGCAAATACCACAGCAGCAAGCTCCAAGTCATGAGTAGGGTAATTTTTCTCATGAGGTCTCAACTGTCGAGAGGCATAAGCCAATTACTCGATCCTCCTGCATCAATACACAACCTAAACCTTTCTTAGAAGCATCAGTATACAAGGTATAAGGAGAAGTTGGAACAGGTAAGGTGAGCACCGGTGTGGTGGTCAACCTCTTTTTTAGCTCCTGGAAGGCAACTTCACACTCGTTCGTCCAAATAAATGGAGCATCTTTCCTGGTCAACTTAGTCAAGGGCATTGCAATTTGTGAAAAACCCTTAATGAAACGACGATAGTAGCCTGCAAGACCCAAGAAACTCCTAATCTCTGTCACACTTCGAGGTTGCTCCCATTTCATCACTGCATCTATCTTACTAGGGTCCACTGCTACCCCTTCTTCTGAAACAACATGGCCTAAGAATTTAACTTCTTTAAGCCAAAAATCACATTTGCTCAACTTGGCATAGAGCTTGTGCTCTCTTAATATCTCCAAAACAATTTTAAGATGTCTAGCATGGTCCACCTCATCTCGAGAATAAATAAGTATGTCATCAATAAAGACTACAACAAATTCATCGAGATAAGGCCTGAAGATTCGATTCATATAATCCATGAAGACAGCTGGGGCATTTGTTAACCCAAACGGCATCACTAGGAACTCATAGTGCCCATATCTAGTCCTAAAAGCAGTTTTAGGGATATCCTCTGCTCTAACCCTCAATTGATGATACCCTGATCTTAGATCAATCTTAGAAAACACCGCTGAATTGACTAATTGGTCTAACAAATCATCAATTCGAGGTAAGGGGTACTTTCTTGATGGTTACCTTATTCAATTGTCTATAATCAATACACAATCTAAGGCTTCCATCTTTCTTTTTCACAAACAGTACCGGTGACCCCCATGGTGATACACTCGGTCTGATAAACCCCTTCTCTAACAACTCTTCAATTTGTCTCTTCAACTCAGCTAACTCCGATGGAGACATCCTATAGGGTGCCTTAGAAATAGGCCCCGTACCAGGTACGAGTTCAATCGAGAACTCAACCTCTCGTTCTGGAGGCAAACCGATCACTTCAGTAGGAAAGACGTCAGGGAATTCTCTCACTACTGGAATCTGATCTACACCTTCTTCAATCTCTGCCTTGATTGAGAAGAAAATCATAAAAGCTTGACAGCCCTTTCTTATACACTGTTCTACTTGAGCTGCAGACAACAACATAGGACTTTGGGACTCTACAGGGGTTACAGTAAGAGCTGAGAGTGACACACTCTTTTTCTGACAATTAAGTACAGCTCCATTTGCAGACAACCAATCCATCCCCACAATAACATCAATCCCAGACAAAGACAAACAAATGAGGTCTATGGTGGTCTTTCGACCCTCATACTCAACCTCTACATTTAGACATGCCTTAGCAGTCCTTACAGTCAAACCAGCAGGAGTAGAAATCTTCACATCAAAAGGTAAGGTACACACAGGCAATTTACATCTTTTCATACATTCATCAGACACAAAAGAGTGTGTAGCACCCGAATCAAACAAAGCACAAACATCATTATCAAGGATTCGGATTATACCTCGGATAGCATTAGGGTTGTTAGCAGCCTCTGGCCCAGAGAGGGCATACACTCGTGCTGGTACTGTAGGTCTCTGATCATTACCCCTATTCTGATTTTGATAGCAGAATCGGGCAATATGACCAGGCTTCTGGCAGATGTAACAAACCCAACAATCACCAGAATGAAACTTCCCACACTTACTGCATGCTTGATTACTAGCAGCACCGGAAGTAGGAGTAGAGGTAGCTGGGCTCCTGTAGGACCCCTGACTCCCACTCTGATTCCCTCTGTAGCTTTGGCCCTTATGGTAGTAGCCCTTTTCTTCTGATTTCTAAAGCCTCCAAAGATTTGACTGCTCCTCTTCTCTACTCCACCAATGGGTCTGGTGTGGATAGGGGGCTTCCCATGAGGTTCTTTCCTCCTCTCTCTATCAGCTTCTAATCTAGCCTCTCTCTTCCTCCGAGAAACTATTCGAAGCTTATTGCACATCTCACTGAATGTCTTGATCTCAAAAGGGGCTAACTGTTCCCTTAGATCAGGCCTCGCCTTCTCTAGTAATCGTTCAGCCATCCACTCCGTGTCTTCATGTTTCTGGAGGTAAGTAGAGTATTTAGATAATTCTGAGAATTGTTCAATAAATTCATCCTCATCTAGATCACCCTGACGAAATGCATGAAACTCAGCCTCCTTTTCTGCTCTCAGTGCAGTAGGAAAATAATTCTCGAACAATATGGCTTTAAAATCTTCCCAAGTAAGAGAGGAATCATCCTTCGGTCCTGATGTTTCCCACCATTTCTTAGCACTCTTCTGTAGTAGGAATATTGCCAGCTGCACCTTTTGATTAGAAGTGCACACAACCATACGAAAAATACTCTCCAATTGATCTATCCATTCTTCAACCACCGCCGGCTTAAGATTTCCATCGAAAGTAGGAGGATTAAACTTACGAAAAGTACTCCAGATCTTTGTGATCGTGGATGTCTGTTGCTCAGAGTGGAGACTCACATTCTTCGGACTAGTCTCATGGTGAGAATAGGAAGGTGAGCCTTCATCAGCAGATTGGCTCGCATTGAATACCTTGGTATGGCTTCCTTCTTGTTGGCCATTTCCCTCTCGGTTGGAATTCTCCTTATATTGTCTTAAAGCGGCCAACTCTTCTTCTTGTCTCTTCATGCGGTCACTAAGATTATATAGTAGATCCATCATTTG